TCAGAGAGACCACTTGCACACTTAAAAGCTCTTTGTAATAAAAATGTTTTTTGGGGGGGAAATTAAACAATATAGCTATATTTGGTTTATTTTGAGGGTCAATGTAGCATTAATCAATTTTGCCAAATGACATCAAAGTAATTTCATGCTTAGCCATAAGCCTTGCACAGGTTGTAGTGATTTTACAAGCTTGTGTCCTCAAGTCATTTAACCTATATAGCTACAAGTTTCAGAGGGGAAAGGCCCTCCTGTTTTTCCATATTTGGGTGAATAAAAGAGTGCTGCTACAGATGATTTTGTTTTTATGGGCTATGATCTAACAGTACCTCTAACAAACTTGGATTTTTGGGGTCAGTGAGTTCATAGACTAGGAGGAAGAAGAACTCTTTCACTGTGGCAGACAGTAATACCAACTCTCATGAAAAAATCTCAAGACTCCTGATTTCCAAGTCAAATTAACTCTGACTCATGATCTCCTGATAAAGACACCAAATCTTGGGATTTTTTTTTCTTTATGTGTATGTAGAGAGCACCAAGCTGGTAAGTCTGCGGGAAGGGGCAGCGTGTGTACATTGAGGTCACAACAGCAAGGGAGGGAGTGGGGAAGGGGCTGGGGCGAATGGGGCCCTGGGGCCAGGGCAAGTTATACAACAGAGTTCTGTGTGTGTGTGTCTGCCCTTCACTGAAGCCCCAGCCCTGCTACTGCCCCTCACTCCTGACCCACAGTACCTCGCATCTTGGCAGGGCGTGTGGGAACCCCCCCCTTCCTGGGCTCCAAACCCCCCATGCACACCCACAGCCCCCCACACCTTCACAAATAACTCCCCCCCAACACACACACACACACACACAAACACTTCAAAAATAGCATTTCATGATTTTACATTCCAAATCTCTTGATTTTTAAGAGTGTGTCTCATAATTTTTGACACAGTGGGATTGGAATGCTGCAGAGATGTAATTTCCAAGCGTCAAGACTACGAAGTGCTCTTGGCTTCTTTCCCATGGGGATTTTGCTGTGGAAGATGAAAGGGTTTTGCCTTGAAAGACTGCGTAGAAAACAGTAACAGAGCTGAGTGAACTGTAGGCACCTTCCCCAGACACCTAGCTCCTTAAACTGGGTCAGGTGAAGTTGCTTCCAGGCTGGACCCAGCAAGCAGGTTGTTGGGACTAGACACAGACGGGCTACTCGTTGATCCAGACTGAATGGGATTTGATGAAGTGGGGAGAGCTAGTTCTGGCAGCATAGATCTATTGGAAATTCTCACTGGTGGGTAAGAAAAGAGTTATAGAAACTGCTTCCAAAGTTACTAGAAGAGTTGGGTCCTTTACATTGTATACGCGTGTATACTATGTTGTCATGTTACCCAAGTTCATAACTTATTCCCTTTCCCTAACTTCCTTTCCTCGTTTATACACTGTCTTGGCATGTTCTTAAGTGAGGCAGTCCCCTCTGTTAAGGGCATCCAAGAAAAGTGCATTCAGTTTTCCCAAGTGCCTAGGTGATCACAAGTTCAAATTATTTAAGACGATCCCTCAGTATATTTTTGCGTGTATTTAACACCTGGTAGAGGATCACATTTGTAATATTTTTCTCTCTTGTTGCTGTGTGAAACAATCATACCATTTAAAGAAATTACTAAGCAGGAAAGACAACTGAGGTTGAGTGACCCCAGCGAGGTGACCATCCAGTCTCCTTTTGAAAATTTCCAGGCTAAGCAATTGCTCTTCCTCTAGAGGGAGCCTATTCCACAGTCTGGACACCCTAACTGAAGAAGTTTTTCCTAATGTTATGCCTGAAATGGTCTTCCAGGAGTTTGTGGCCATTACTCCTGGTTTTCCCCAAGGTTACCCTGGTGAACAGTTGTTTGCCAAGCCCCTGATGTATTCCCCTGATGTAGCGGTAAGCTGCTATCAGGTCCCCTCTCAGCCTTCTCTTTTTTAGGCTAAAGAGTCCCAGGTCCCTAAGCCTTTCCTTGCATGGCTTACCATGCAAGTCTTTGATCATACGGGTGGCTCTTCTCTGGACTCTCTCAAGCTTTACTATGTCCTTGTTAAAGTGCAGCACCCAGAACTAGACACAGTACTCAAACTGCAGTCTCACCAATGCTGAGCATAGGCAACGTGTAGGAGGGGCCCTCGCCAGTCAGGGACTGGGGAGCACTGGCCGATGCCCTCTTCCACCCCCAAAAAAAAAAGTGCTGGTGGTACTTGTGGTTTGCTGCCAGTGCTTCTGGGGTCGGTGATCAGTCACTGAGGGACACCCCTCCCCCCCCCATTGGCAATCTGCTGCTGGGGGACCTCTCCCCACTATCGGCGATTGGCCAGTGGTGCCCCCCCAGAGCCAGGAGGCACCAGTTGCCCATGATGCTGAGTAAAGTGGAAGAATAACTTCCTTGATTTTGCTTGAGATGCATGCCAGAGTATTATTTACCCTACTAAAAAAGTGCAATCAAGTGCACTGGTAAAATTGAGGTTCCATTCCATTATCATAATCATATAATAATTTTAGGAGTTGTAACAATGCTAGATAAAAACCTTCCAAATGAAGAATATTTTATTTATCTTTAAATTGATGTCTCCATAGGTTCTCAGAGCTAAACTACTGATTCTTTCATGCCTCTGGTGTTTTAAAATAGCATGTTTCAAGGGAAGTCATAGGAGACTAATTCACTCCCTTCTGATTCCTTACTCATATTGGCAAATGTTTACTCATGTGGATAGTCTCATTTAATTTGCACGTTCACCAGCAGAACCCCTGCAATTATATAAAACAAAACCCTGTTCCCTACTATTAGATTAATTTATAGGTCAATCAAAAGCTTAACAGACTAAATAGCTCTTTGTTTTCCTCTACATCAGGTCCTGATATGCAGCTTCACTTGTTTTGATAACTCACCATGCATTGGATTGGCTGCCATCTGTTTGGCACTTTTTATTACAAGAGTAGGGGTTTCCCTTGATTTTCTTAGCCAAAATTTCCCTTCTTCATACTGTTGGGTAGTGTGCTGAGATGGCTCTGTTTCAGAGATTCTGTGTATCTGTAGTTGTAACACACTTCAAGATATTAGGTACTACATAAATATAAAAGCTGTGTATTTTTACTGCTGAACATTAGTGAAATTAGCTGTCTGTGTGCAAATGTAAACCATTATATATTTGTTGGGCTCTAAATAAATTTTTGATTTCCCCTTTTTTTTTTTTACTTAGTTTGCGTGAAGGTTCCTTACAAATCCAATGATTGAGTATTTATATTGTTGTACTACAGAACTGAGCCATAAGTCTTGTGCAGCTTCAAGCTCTATGATGTTTTCCTTTTGGATCAAGAAATCGGGGCTTTTTTTTCCAGTGGTAATAAATACCATTAGTTAGTTCTTAAATAGATTTAACAATATTAGTGCCACCTGTACTTCCTTTGTATACATTTTTGGGTGATTGTGATGTGCAGTATAGTTACAAATTTCAAATCCTAGATGAACACAGATTCCTTTCGAGCTAAAACCTAATTTCTTACATTTAGGTGGTAGGCTAAAGTATTTCCCATGAGTAATATTGAGCATCTTTCCAGTATGTTCTAAAGCAGTGGTCTCCAAAGTGGGGTGCACACACTCCAGGGGGTGCGCAAGATGATCCACTGGGGTTTGGGAAGAAAATATTAGAACTTCTGTTTCTATCTATATTTATATAAATTTATATTTATATAAATATACATATATTGGGGGTGCATGCGCAAAAATTTTTTACTGATAGGGGTGCATGATCAAAAAAGTTTGGAGACCACTGTTCTAAAGGACTGTCACCAGTGTGATGCAGAGATAACCTAGCTGGTTTTAAATTTAATAAGCTTAGGTAATACTGATAATAGACTAGACATGGCAGCACGGTGTTCAATTTACCTTGCTTCTCAGGGGGATTTGCAGCCTGCACTGAGCTCTCTACTACTAGTATCTGAACTAGCTAGTTTAAAATTACTTTGGATATCAGTGATTTGGACGAGGGGGTAAAAAGCACCCTGTTCAAATTTGCTGATGACACTAAGATGTGGGGGGACGTGGGCACACTAGAAGGAAGCAACAGGCTACAATCTGACCTAGACAGGTTACAAGGGTGGGCGGATGAGAATAGGATGGGTTTCAACACAGACAAGTGCAAGGTGATGCACCTGGGGAGGAACAACAGGCACCATACCTACAGGTTGGGGAACTCCCCTCTTGTCAG